GCGCTTACAGCTGCAATCAGATCATGTTCCTGAGGCTCTGCAGGGCCGTCTATGAAGACATGATTACGCCCAAGCACCCGAAAGATCGGCTCGGGAGGCTCTACGTTGATCATTTGTGTAAGCTTTGCCCAAAAGGCTTCGTGTGAATCTGCGGGACCTGAGAGCGTCAAGTCATCGACGTAAGTCGAGAGCATAAAGGGGTAGGGGTAGGCCTTAAAGAAACAATTTCTTTGCCTGCTTGAGCAGTTTCTTGAGGCGCGCCTCCCACAGACCTCCTGCGTCGAGTGTGGGCACTGGCGATCAGTGAATGCTTCGGCAAGAGCCTTTGATGTAGTTTTGATGCGCCAAGGCTTCTTGGTGGGTGAACCATTCTCATCCGTCAAACCAACAGCACAACCATGAAACGAAACGCCAAGGAACACATCCTTGCGACGTTCGAAAAACTTGGCTACATCTGGCCTCTGCCAGCCTTCACAGTCTCGCGGCCACTCGAAAGTGACTGATCCACCAGCCTTCAAAACATGCGCTGCGTGCATTGCAAACTTTGAAAACATTAACTTAAATTGCTTGACTTTTCCCCTAACTCTTTCTTGAACGGCTTTCCTACCCTGTGGAGGTTCAGCCTTTGCCAAGGTGATCCTGAGACACATGGAATGGCTGCCCACAAGTTGGGACGGACGCACTGCGAGAGTTGATACGCGAGCTGCTCATCCACAACGGCTGGCTCTAAGTCAACGCACTCCTTTGCTAATCGGAGATGTGGGATGTTAAGATCCTTGAACACAGTACCCATTGAGGAATTAGGTGAACAAGCACATTCAAACATCGGGCCAACAGCATCACGCGCTAGGCGCTTGCGAGCACGCTTGTTGCCAACGGTAAACGGAGGGCGTTCATCGCCCCCGTGAAGCTGGCAAGGTATCGCACGGAGAATATAGTTGCACTTCTCCCGAAAGGCCTCGGTGTCTGCTACTGACTGACCGGCAAGTGTCAACCCAAGAAGATTGCGTTCTCCAAGGATGCCGATCCGGCCGCGCTCCAGTTGAAAGCGCTTGAAGATCAATCGCAACATCACGCGCCCATTGGGCATTGTACCTGCGGTGTTCCGTTAGTGCTCCACCATGTTTTGGAACAACAACCCAAACTTGCCTTTGCGACAGGTCTTCAACAGCTTGGCGGCTCTCTCACGGGCTGTGCGTGGGAAACGTTTATCAGCTTTGAGTTGTTCCTCGGATGAGGTCAACCAGTCCTGAGCCCGCAAATAGAGCTCGTCGTCGATCGTCTTTTGCAAACGTCCAATGGATTCACGTGTCCATGCGCCTGACCGGCGTTCTCTGACAGAAGCGGAAGCACTAAATCCTTAAGGTCCTTGATGCGGACCACGGTTTCCTCATACGAGGCCGCAGCATCCCCACCACCTGCATCTGCTTGAGTGCCTTGTCCCTGCCCCCCATTCATGGAAAGGGAGGGGCAGAGCCTGTGATCCAACCTGGAGGTCACGTCCGTCCAACAACATGTTGCCCCGATAACCCGAGATCCATAGGATTTTGACTTTCATAGTTTCATCCGGAGGGACTGGAACATTTTGTGCCTTTCTAGATCAGCAAGGCTTTGCGACAACAAAAGGTTTTCACTACCTAATGTATCTATCGTTTTACTTTGCTGGAGGATCTTCTGGTCCCGTGCGGAAATTTCTTGAATGGCCTCCTGCCTCAACCTTGACACTTTGGCTTCTGCGGCCGACCTTGTTTGTTGCGCTTCATGCCTAGCACGTTCAACATGGCTTACGGCTTCCTGTCTTAACAGATGGACATGGCCTTCAGCTTCCTGCCTCACCTGTTGAACATGGCCTTGAGCTTCCTGTTGAGAACGCTGTGCAACTTGTTCAGCTAATGCGGTCTGAGCACGAGCTCGTTCGACTGCTTGCTGGGCTTGGTGTGTCAGCTCCGTTGCCTGTTGTCTAAAGGTCTGTTCCCTTTGTTGCGCGACAGCTGCAACCTCCCCTAGCCTTTGTCGGGCCTCGTCCGCGGCTCGATGCTCGTGAAGAGCAACGTTGGCAGCCCGATCAGCAATGAGCGAAGCTTGATCGGCAGCACTCATGTCCCTAGATGGGTCGGGAGCAGGCACCTGTGGGCCATACACAAGGGGGGTTGCTGTAGAGTCTGAATCAGGTTCCTCTACTATGAGAGTCCTACGGGGAGGAGTCGCGTTGAGATCGCGGCTGCGAACATCTCTGCATGAGGATGGTCTGGAACCTACGGGAACTACGGACATTGCGGGTACCGAAATATCACCGAGTTCAGGGTCTTCCTCACTAGGCTCTCCCCCACAAATTGACCTTGACCTACTCACGTATGGCGCCTCAAGCTGCGGCCGTGTGGAAACTTATTATACAACCGGTGTTGGAAACCGGTGCGCCTGCTGCGCTTGAGCTGCAGCCTCCGGCGATGCCACATCAACGAAAAGGCCCGCGGCCGCCCCTTGCGCAATGGGGGCGGCGGCCAACTTCTTCGAGGTTCTCGGATTGGTCGAGCACTCTGGCAGGATGCAGAAGGCGTCGGTGCTGGTTGAGATACTCGTGGAGCTCGTCAAGGGCGTCGTAAAGCGCCCGACTGGCGTCTCTTCGCCCGACACCGATGCCCAGAGCGCCTGCGGCGGTGCGACACTCTTTGAGGACCGCGTTGTTATCGTCCACGATAACACACTCTCCCAACTGCGCTAAAGCTGCAGCCTTTCCGGATTGCCCAACTCGTTTCCAAGTCAGGACCACGTCTCCAAAAGGACGAGCCCCGAGGCTGTCAATGCTGTTGTTGCACACGTTGGAAAAATTGCCTGCGGCACGGAGCGTGTTCTCGCGAGTGTCTCGGGACTGGCAATAGCTGACAATACGGAACTCGATGGGGTAGTGGCTGCGGTAGATCTTGGAAATCACCTTGAGCACGCCTTCGGGGCTCCGGCAGCCTCAACAGAAATGCCGAGGGTGTTGCGCCAGTCCAAGCAAACCACAATGGGTTGTCACCCTGTCGCCGGAGACGGCACTTTTTGCAGCAGACGGTGACTACTTGACCGGCAATTGTGGGACGTTGCGCCTCGCCTGTGGTGGTGGCGAGCGGGGGGTTCGCTTGCAAATGGACTTCGGCGGAGGTGGGATGGACCGCTGCACTTGGAGCTGCAGCCTTGTTGGTAGACACTGTTGTCGTTGACGACAAACTTGATGGGGTGTCAGGTTGTGCTGGCTGAGCCGGTGCGCTGGCCTGCCCTGCCGTGCCTTGAGCCCCGTTGCAGGGAGGTCTGGCGCGCAAACGTTGATTTTCGGTTGCCACCTTCTGCAGGATAGGCGGCGTTCGGCGGCGGCCTAGGGCAATGGTGCTTGAGGTGCCTGTAACTGCCGTCGGTGAAGTCGGCGTGCCATGCCAGGGAGCTTCGACGCAAGTCCGAAGCGTCCTCCCAGGCGTCCAATAACAAACTTCTGCCTTGCCCAGCGGCCGAAAAGGCCGGAGCCGGCATTGGTCTTGAGCCAAACGGGCATTGCCATTCGACATTTATCAACATGTTCGAGCAGGCATCAAGGGGCCTCATGCAACGCATGTCACTGGGTACCTCTTTGAAACCCTAGGGGTCGTGAATTCTCAACTGCAAAAGGGATAGGTGCTTGAATTTAAGTTGCTCTTTAACCTGATGGCGCCGAGATGTTGGCCGCGTGCTCACAGCAAACACACATAGAAAGAATGTTAGAAGGGCAACCCTTGAACATTTTGCCAATCTGAGAGCATACAGTCAGCGTCCCTAGCATGACTGGGACCGCACCATCCGCACAGGGTGGTGGTATGGAAAACATTAACAGCCAGCATCATTGGCCACGCCCACGCACCAAATTGGCAAATCGAATGCGCACGAAGCGCGGCCCCTTGTCTCGCAGCGGCCAAACAAGGGATTACACTTCAGTAGGTTGCTGTTCGTTAACTACTCAGTTGCTTTCTACATGAACAGCCTATGTGGCGCATGCGCGGGGTCACGTGATGCTGGGGTAGCTTGCTGGCTTGATGAAAAACTGCCCCATTTGGTGCGCTCATGGCGCTAGCTGGAGATATTGGCTGTGTGCTTCAAGAGTTTACGCTTACGGTTGCTGTTCGGCGCTAGCAGATTCACACCAAAGCTGCGAAGGGGCTGGCTGACTGTACGCTGAACATGTGGCCAAACAAGGAGTTACACTTTACTTGAAGCTGCACCAACGGTGCCAGTAGAATGCTGTCTTTCTGAAAGGTAGTCGAGTTGAGTTGCTTCGTGTTTACCGGAATTTGGTGTTGTTTGCTGCATTGTCCAATGTGTTTGTTTGTGTGTGCCTGGTGGCGGAGCGTTTCTGATACTGTTTGCCCAAAAACGGCAGCTTGTCCTTGGGGCGCACGTGCGCCTTACTTAGCAAGCGCACCTTGCCAATTGCAGTCATGGACTGCAGGAGCTGTGCCTTTGCGCAACGCCAACCCCCTGGCGCAAGACGAACTCTTCTACCCTATCACCGCGCCTATTTTACTTTGCTGCATACCTCAAACATCATGTGTCATGACCCCTCACAAGGTAAGCCGAAGGTCTGGGAAGCCTAAAGCCTGCAAAGTCTGCAGCCACAACTCAGAACAGGTTCTCTTGCGCTGCACCGATCGCCCTTGCACCGTACCAGTCGCACCCTTGCGCTACCAGTCGTACGTACACCGTACCAGTTCCCGTACCAGTCGCATCGCACCCTTGCACCGCACCAGTCGTACCCTTGCACCGTATCACTCGTACCCTTGCATCGACCAGTCGTTCTTTTCCAGTCGTACCCTTGTACCGCACCAGTCGTACCATCATCGTCCCAGCGTTGGCAAGGGCCTCCAGAGCATGACTCTTAAAATGAATGAAAGAATGTCGACACACAAGAAAATGGTATTGTGTATACACATCTACCCCGAAGGTTCCACGCAGCCATCGGCCTTTTGGGAAAGGCAAGTTGGACACACCGAGTCCTCGTTCACTGACACTGGCAGGAGCACACCCGGCGCAGACCCCGCAGTGCTGGACTGGATCACTGGGAAGGAAGCGCTCCTCGGCGAACGGATGACGGCGTTGGAAGAAGTTGAACACCCAAGGATTGTTCTTGCCCCGGCCCTGCTTCCACCTAATACCGAAACACAGCCCTCCAAATCATCAAGCGTGCGTGAATCATTCGCGTTCAGACAAGCAAGTCGGGGGCTGCTTGCGCTATGAAAAGCCATCTCACCAGAGTCCCTGCCAGGCAGGGGCAACCGCGTCGGGTATCCTTAAGGAGCACCATATGCTTCTGCACACATGTTCAGCCCAGGCGCCTTTCACTAAGCAGCTTCTTGGTGCATTCACTACCCCCTGCTCTCCTGAAAAGAACCGCTCCGTTGACTCGGCAGCCCGAATGGTGTGTTTGTGGGTGTAGGCGCGGGCGCTCGGATGTGGGTGGGTGAGTGTGCGTGGGCGAGGCGAGCGTGTTGGGCGGCGCAAGCGGGCGAACAGCGCGCGTGCTTGTGGCGCGCGCGCACGTGGGTGGGGCGCGGGCACGAGTGCGGGTGTGTGTGTGTGTGTCTCCGTCTGAGCGCGCGCGCCTCTGGCGCACGCACGTGTCTGAGCGTCTCTGCGCGTGCCTGCGTTCGCGTGTGTGAGCGTGCGCGCGCGTGAGCGTGCGTGTGCGCGCGCCATGGCGTGGGCGTGAGCTTTGGGGCACGGGTTGGGGCGTGGCCGTAGCCTATGGCGTGGTTCTCGGTGTAGGCTTTGCTTCGCTTCTCCCCGAACTACACGAGCGCAAAGAAATGAGACAGCTGCGGCGCACAGAAACTACAGAAGCGTTCTTCTACATTGCGTGCGTGTGATGCTGCTACACAAAATCAGTATCTTGGGGCATAGTGCTCTGTGACTAACCTCAGCCTGCAGCAGCAACAAACAGGCAGTTTCTGTACTAATGTCTTCTTACTTGGCGCACATGCTCACAGTGTCCTCATCTGCTCTTCAGGGCTGCTGCTGCAGTAATTATTGTCTACACACAGACACACGCATGGGTACCTTGGTATTGAAGAATCTGGGGGCGTTTCTAAGTGTTCACCCCCCATCTGATTTCAAGCTCGGGCAAAAACTCCACCGAAACAATGCCACGTCCTTGACCAAGAACGCGGCTGCAAGCGGCGCCACTTACTTGACTGACGCTTTATGACCGTGTGGAAATACAATCCTGGTCACGTCTTTACACAGACACGCACGCACGGGTACCTTGGTAGAATCTGTGTGTTTCTGAGTGTGCACGGGGGGAAGAAGAGGGGAAAGGGGGCAAAGATCTCAAGGGGGGAGCAAAGATCTTAGGGGGGAAAAGGGCAACGATCTTACTTAGGTGGGGAGAGGGGGAAAGGCGGGAGGAGATCTTAGGAGGACGAAGCAGGAAAAGATGTTGGGGGAAGGGGGGGGAGAGGATCTTCGGGGGGGAAGTCACAGGAAGAAAAGATCTTAGGGTGGCAAGTCGGAATACGATCTTAGGATGAGGGGCGGAGGGGGGAAAGATCTTAGTGGGGGGAAAGGTGGGAAAAGATCTTAGGGGGGAAAAGGGGGGGGGACAGACCTAGGAGGGGAAAGGGGGGAAAAGGTTTACCAGCTAATTGCAGGCGGGCAACCTCAAGAAAGTGTGTGTGTGTGTGTGTGTGCCCGGGTCTGTGTGTGTGTGTCTGTGCGCGTGTCAGTGAGTGTGTGTGGGTGTGTTTGTGTACGTGTGTCTGTGTGTGCCTGTGTCTGTGTGTGTCTGTGTGTGTGTGTGTCTGTGCGTGTCTGTGTGTGTGGGGGCGCGGGGTTAGGGGTGTGAGAGGCTAATTGCGTGAGATGGGCGCGCGGGTTTGGGTGTGGGTGGGTGTGGGTGTGTGGTTTGGGCGCGCGGGTGGGTGTCTGCGGGCGAGGGCGGGGGTGGGTGTGGGGGCAGGTCTGGGTGTGTCTGTGTCTGTGCGCGCGCACTTTGTCTGTGTCTGGTGTCTGTGCCTGTGTTTGCGTGTGTGTCTGTGTCCGTCTGCAGGTGTGTGTGTGTGTGGGTGTGTGTGGAGCTCCTGCTGGCTTAGGAGAATGACTGAGGCAAGTTGTATGGATGCAAGATTGTCTTTTCGGCGGCTCGCCTTGACAAACAATATTATGGAAACGCGCTGTGCTCACTGCCTCACAGCGCTTGAAACCTAGTCGAAGGCTGGAGATTGCACATGCTTTCTCTGGTTATCATGCAGTTGCTGCACCAAGCACAAGCGAAAATCCACTAACCCGCGCTGTCGAATTTCGGAGCATACGAGTGGAGTCATCCTGGAGGCTCGGAGCACGCAGTTGGAGTCGCAATGTATCTTCGAAAGTGTGTTCAAAGAGCATAACGTTCGGCGCATGCTTGCCGTGCCAGATGAATACCAGGGCAGAGCGCTGGGGACGTCGATTTCTGCTTCGTCGCGGTATACGCATGGGTGCAAGCAAAAACAGAAGCAGAACAAGATTACAAGGCTTTGGCCGCTTGTCTCTTCTCTCATATCGAAGCTACCGCACAGGTGCGCGCCAATGCTTTTCAGCGTGCGCGACGGCTAGAACGGCTAATCCCTGGCGCGGGCGGCGGAGCCGGAGAACAGCAACGGGGAATCTTCTGAAGAGCAACATCTGTGTTCGGTCAACTCCTTTAGCGCTCCAGGGCAGACCTATGTTGGAACACACCGATGCTTCTCTTGATAGATCATCCTTCAAAAAATATCCTCGGCGGATCGTTGTCACTTCATCCTCTTGATAGATCCATCTGGATCGTTGTCACTTCATCCTCGGCGGCGGGGCCGTGTCCACGCGATGGGTATGTCCTCTGCGGGACCTGGCGCATCACCACTTTCTTCTTCAGCACAGTCTCGCGGTGTCGGGGGCGGTGTTGCGCTCAGCGGCGCTAAGCTGCAAAGAGTCCGAGGCCCAGGTAAGCAAGATCACACGCCAGTCAACATTGTCTTTCAGCGCAAGTCAGTTTTTACTGCAGCCCTCCCCTGAGCGCCTCAAACTTTTGCGCAGGAAACAAGAACCACACCCGCAAGACACAGCGGCTGCCATTCTGCAACAGGCAGTTCGGGCGGCAATACCGCAGACTCGACGCATGCGTAGGCCAGATACTTTGGCTGCTCTGCAGTATCGAAAAGAAATCCGCCGACCATTTCTCTAAAAAGGGGAGGCGCACGGGAAGGGTGGTTGGCACATAAGTATAACCAAAGTTTCATCCTCATCAGCATCATCAGCTACGATGGTTATCATCACAGTCATCGTCATCATCCTCATCCTTATCATCATCTCTTTCTTCTTCTCTCATCCTTATCATCATTATCATCATGGTCATCATCATCTCTTATTCGGCAACGTTAGACATCCTTGGCAATGCAAAGGATGCGATGATGATAGTTATCAAGGAACAAGTAGAGATGCAGAGGATGTTATGATAGTTGTCATGACCATTATCATCATGGTCGTCGTCGTCTTTTATCAGGCAGCATTGGTGACGCAGAGGGTGCTACGATGATAGTTATCATCACAGCCGTCATCTAATATCTTATTATGTATAGAAATCAAAAGGTACGTTAGACATCCTGGGCAATGCAAAGGATGCGATGATGACAGTTATCAAGGAACAAGTAGAGATGCAGAGGGTGTTGCGATGATTGCTGTCATGACGCGGATGATAACGACCCTCACGCCCGTGCCATTATCATCATGGTGGTCGTCATCTCTTATCAGGCAGCATTGGTGATGCAGAGGGTGCTACGATGATAGCTATCATCACAGCCGTTAGTGTCGCCAAGGATGCTACGATGATGGTTATCATCCTTGTCATCATCTTTATCATCATCTGATCATCACCTAGCATCATCGAATATCTGACTATATATAGACATCAAAAGGGACGTTAGACATCCTTGGCAATGCAAAGGATGCGATGCTGATAGCTATTGAGGAACAAGTAGATATGCAGAGGATGTTGTGATGATAGTCGTCATCACGCGGATGATAACGATCATCACGCCCGTGGCACTATCATTGTTGTCGTCGTCATCTCTTATCAGGCAGCATTGGTGATGCCAAGGATGCTACGATGATAGTTATCATCCTTGTCATCATCTTTGTCATCATCCGATCATCACCTAGCATCATCTAATATCGTATTATAAACAGAAATCAAAAAGGGACGTTAGACATCCTTGGCAATGCAAAGGATGCGATGATGACAGTTATCAAGGAACAAGTAGACACGCAGAGGGTGTTGTGATGATAGTTGTCATGACGCGCATGATAACGATCATCACGCCCGTGCCACTATCATCATGGTCGTCGTTATCTCTTATCAGGCAGCATTGGTGATGCAGAGGATGCTGCGGTGACAGTTATCAGGACAATCATCAGCATCATCCTTATCATCATCGTGATGATGGTCATCATCCTCATCGTCCTTCTCATCGTCATCATCATGGCGGTCATCATCATCTCTTTCTTGTTCTCTTATCCTTGTCATCATTATCATCATGGTCATCATCATCTCTTATTCGGCAGCGTCGCTGATGCAGAAGATGTCACGATGATAGTTATCATCACAGCCGTTAGTGATGCCAAGGATGCTACTATGATGGTTATCATCCTTGTCATCATCTGTATCATCATCTGATCATCACCTAGCATCATCTAGTATCTTAGTATATACAGAAATCAAAAGGGACGTTAGACGTCCTTGGCAATGCAAAGGATGCGACGATGATAGTTATCAAGGAACAAGTAGAGATGCAGAGGATGTTGATGATGATAACGATCATCACGCCCGTGCAACTATCACCTTGGTCGTCGTCATCTCTTATCAGGCAGCATTGGTGATGCAGCGGATGCTGCGATGATCGTTATCATGACAGTCATCCATTGCCCAATTGTTCAGTGGCATCCTTGTCTTTTTCTGGCGGCTTTTTGTCAGGGAAAGCACCTCAAATACATATTTTTTAGTTTGAGGTGTGGGAGACTTTGTTTTGGGCTGCGTCATCGTCGTCATCATCACCATCATCCCTCTCCTCATCATCATGATGGTCATCATCATCTTTTTCTTATTCTCTTACCCTTCTCGAATTTATCATCATGGTCATCATCATCTCTTATTCGGCAGCGTTGCTGATGCAGAAGATGATACGCTGAAAGTTATCATCACAGCCGTTAGTGATGCCAAGGATGCAACAATGATATAGTTATCATCCTTGTCATCATCTGTATCCTCATCCGACCATCATCTAGCATCATCAAATATCTTGTTACACATCTTTATTGATGTATAGAAATCAAAAGGGACGTTAGACATCCTTGGCAATGCAAAGGAAGCGAT